TGGACCCCTTCCAATTTGCATATCGGTCCAACCGCTCGACCGATGACGCCATCGCCACTACCCTCCACTCAGCACTCACACACCTGGACAAAAAAGACTCATACGTCAGAATGCTGTTCATAGACTTCAGTTCAGCATTCAACACAATCATCCCTCAACAGCTCATTCACAAACTGGTCCAGCTGGGGCTCAACACTTCGCTGTGCAACTGGCTGTTGGACTTCCTGACTGGAAGACCTCAGGCAGTTCGGGTCGGCAGCAACACATCCAGCACCATCACACTGAACACTGGGGCCCCCCAAGGATGTGTGCTGAGCCCCCTCCTCTTCACTCTGCTGACCCACGACTGCACACTGTCACACAACTCCAACCTCCTTATTAAGTTTGCGGATGACACGACTGTAGTGGGTCTCATTAGCAACAGAGATGAGACAAACTACAGGAGCAAGGTGAGCCGCCTGGCCGGGTGTTGCAGTGACAACAATCTCTCTCTGAATGTGGAGAAGATGAAGGAGATTGTTGTTGACTTCAGGAGAGTGCGCACTCAGCATGCTCCTCTGACCGTCAATGGTGTGACTGTGGAGAGGGTGAGCAGCACCAAGTTCCTGGGTGTGCACATCACAGAGGATCTCTCCTGGGCTGACAACACCGCAGCACTGGCCAAGAAAGCACTGCAGCGTCTCTACTTCCTCCGCAAACTGAGAAGAGCCAGAGCCCCGGCCCCCATCATGTGCACCATCGAGAGCATCCTGACCAGCTGCATCACTGTGTGGTATGGCGCCTGCAACGCGTCCTGCCGCAAGACACTTCAACGCATAGTGAGAGCAGCTGAGAAGATCGTTGGTGCCTCTCTCCCCTCCCTTTAGGACATCTACACCACCCGTCTCACCCGCAAAGCCCTCTGCATTGCAGGTGATCCCACCCACCCGACACACAGCTTCTTCAGTCTGCTGCCATCAGGGAGGAGACTGCGGAGTCTCCAGGCCAGGACCAGCAGACTGAAGGACAGCTTCATCCATCAGGCTGTCAGGAAGCTGAACTCCCTCCCGACCTTGCCCCCCCTCCCCTCTTTTGCCCCACGCACCACTGAACTCTGACTCTGACCCTCTGATGGACTCTCCCACTCCCCCCCTCCCAAATACACACACACACACACTGTCACTTTAATCAGTCTGAAATAAGCTCTTTTGCACTACAAATAATTTTTTTGCACTACAATCACTATATCTGCACTGTTGTTTACTTTACTGGTTTGCACTCTATCTTCCATATGCCTTGTGCTTTATATATATATTTTTACATTTTACCTTATTTGTATATTTGTATAGTTGTATTTTGTATTTTGTATTTAATCTGTATTTATGTTATCTGTATGCACCCAAGGGTCTGAGAGTAACGCAATTTCAATTCTCTGTGTGTATGTACTGTACATGTGGAAGAATTGACAATAAAGCAGACTTGACTTGACTTGACTTGACTTGATATTTGTTGGTCCCTATGGCACATTTTGCTGTAGCTTAATGTGACTTGTAGCTTTTTTAATTGGAAGAGCAAAAACCGTGTCTAATGTTACTCAGTATTAACTTCATGTTGTATAACAGCAATATTGCATTCACAATTTGTTGTTTTACAAAAAAAAAAAAAAGAATATGATTGTGATTACCTGCGGCACAAGGCAGCAGGAGAACTCTATTTTTTATGATGTTGCTTAACTGTTTTTATCAACATGTTTTGGTGTTGTTTTAAATGTAAGCATTTATTGTCAATAATTTTCTCAACTCCAGCTACCATCTTGGATGTTTCTGAGCTTGTTGTAATACATTTTGGGATTGCAGTATCATTGAAGGACACATGCAAGCCTATAATTTGGCCAAAATTAGGTGTCTTATTAGGCACAAAAACAGGGAAACATATACACAGGCAAATGAGGGACTAAAGCAGGGTTCCTCAAATCTTGCCCTGGAGGGTCAATGCACTGCAGAGTTTAGCTCCAACCCTGATCAAACTCACCTACCTGTGATTTTCTAATGATCCTGAAGACATTGATTAGCATGCTCAAGTGTGTTTGATTAGGGTTAGAGCTAAACTCTGCAGGAAAGTGGATCACGTGGGCCAGATTTGAGGATCCCTGGACTAAAGGCTTAATTAACTCAACACAGGTGAACAGAATGACACAATCAAGTGGAGACAGATACTAGGTCAGTGAACACATGAGGGAAGAAAACACAACAAAAAGGTCCATGGGTACATGGGTATTTTTTAAAACTGAGTTTTTCCTTCTTCCGTTTTTAAAAAAATCTCTGTCCACATGAAAACGCAAACGCATGCTATGAAGCACTGTCAAGAGCATGCCAAACCAACAGGTGGCGATATAATCTCAACCGTAAAGCCATGTTGGCCAATCAGAAGCCTGAAAAAGTTTCCAGTAGGCGGAGATAACAGCGCAGGCTCTGACGTCACAAGCCAAAAACTCCGGTTTCACTGTCTACACCAGGGGGGGCGAACTCCGGTCCTGGAGAGCCGCAGCCCTGCAGAGTTCAGCTCCAACCCTAATTAAAACTCACTTGCCTGTAGCTTCCTAGTAACTGTTCAGACCTTGATTAGCTTGTTCAGGTGTGTTTGATTAGGGTTGAAGCAAAACTCTGCAGGGCTGCGGCTCTCCAGGACCAACGTTCGCCACCCCTGGTCTACACGATAACACTGCAACAGTTTTTGAAAATCTTCACCCTGGCGGGCGTTTTCAAAAATGTTTGGCCTAACCGCATAGAAAAAGCTGCGGTTTTAAAAATAACCGCGTTTGTGTGGACAGGGCCTAAGTTTTCTAACAAAGCTTACCAAGTTTTGTAACAAAGCTTGTATATATTTCTAGGATTGTGTCATCTATTAAACAATGACAGAACGTTGTTTAAATATAGAGATTACACCCTTTAAAATATAAAATTGCTTTTGTTGTGTGTGTGTGTGTGTGTATTTCCTGTTTGTCTGGTGGTTTGGTTTTTAGTCATGCAGGCAATAAAGACTACAGCACTGTGCATACTGACAGCACAGTAATAAACACCAGAGTCTGACTGACTGAGATCAGGGATTTTCAGAACTCCATTCAGTGTTTCTGTTCTTTCCAATTTAAACCGGTCTTTAAATCCATCCTCATAGTTGGGGTCACCTGTAGCACCATAACTTAACACGATCAAGGCCATGGCTGTATCTTTCTGCTGATACCATAGCATGTAAGGTTTGCTACTGTCATCATAACTACACTTTATCTCTGCCATTTTATTCGTGCTGGCTAGTATGGCTGTTGGGTTCTGTTGAACATTCACACATTTCACCATCCCTGTGAACAAAAAAAAAGGTGTTAAGAGATATTCTCTTTCAAAGCAAAGAAAAATAACAAATATGATCAATTATAATACTTTGATCAATCTGCTGTCAAAGGACATCTTACCTGTATATAATAAGAAATAAATGCACAGTCCATATGCAGCTCTAAACATCCTTCTACAACAGCGTTATAAATTATCTGGTTATGCACACAGCAAAAATAATGTGATGATAGAGAGTGTATGAGACTTTAGTATGGACAGAGAGAGAGGAAAACTTGTACATTAAAATAAACAGTTGTATCTCCCCCTACTGACTGTAACACATTAGCAAGCTGTATGTGAAGGGAGGAGTGTAAACATGATTAACGCATTTGTATGTGCAAGTTGTCAGGTTCTGCTGACTTGTTTGCACAGATATGGGTTTATTTATTTGTGGTTGAGGCAGGTGTGATTGCAGGTTGTTATTGCAGTTTTTGTTGCACAATTTGTTGTTATTTATTCACTGTGTAATCTAGCAGCACACAGATACAAAGCATCAATCCCCTCCTTAACATCCACTTTCAGGGTCCATTTCTTAGTCTCTGTACTTGACACTGTGAAATTGGTTTCAAAACCTTTCTCATTAGTGGAAGAAGCAACAATGTAGCTCCCAACAAGCACTAGCTCTCCTTTTATTTGTCTGTACCAGTATTTGTAGTCATAGTCTGTATCATTCTGGTAACAGTGCATTTCAACTGAAGAGCCTGGAAGACTGGATATGTGCTTCGGCCATTGAGTGATCAGAACACCATCACTAAAAACAGCTGGAAATACAAAGATATATAAACAAAAACAGGAAATATTTTTCTCATACGCAGCTCTAAACATCCTTCTACAACAGCGTTGAAAATACTCTGGTCATGCACACAGCAAAAATAATATGACAAGTGAGAGAGAGTACAAGACTTTAGTATAGACAGAGAAAGAGAGGAATACCTGTACATTAAAATAGACAGTCACATCTCCCCCTACTGACTGTATCATATCAACCAGACCTTTGTGTGAAAGTGTTTTTGGTGGAAGGGAGGAGTGTAACATGATTAATGCAGTTGTAATTGCGAGTTGTAAGGTTCTGCTGACTTGTCTGTAAAGATATGGGTTTATTTATTTGTGGTTGAGGCAGGTGTGATTGCAGGTTGCCATCCCAAAGGGTTTTTGTTGTACAATTTATTAGCATTTATTCACTGTGTAAACTAGCAGCACACAGATACACAGCATCAATCCCGTCTGTAATATTCACTTTCAGGGTCCATTTCTTCTTCTCTGTACTTGACACTGTAAAGCCGCTTTCAAAATCCTTCTCAACTGAGCCAGAGTTAACAATGTAGCTCCCAACAAGCACTAGCTCTCCTTTTATTTGTCTGTACCAGTATTTGTAGTCATAGTTTGTATCATTCTGGTAACAGTGCATTTCAACTGAAGAGCCTGGAAGACTGGATATGTACTTCGGCCATTGAGTGATCAGAACGCCGTCACTGAAATCTGCTGGAAATACAAAGATATAATAATGAGCAGGATATGTTTTTCATTAGAAATCTACAGTACATTTATTCTAAACCATGAAGATCACTGTCAGTTCTTATTTCAAGTTAAAATGTAATACCTTTTAGACAAAGCAATGTGAATAGGAGAAGAAATGAGTCCATTTAGAGTTGCTTTTTGTGAAATGTTCTCTGATGTTCAGTTAATTCCCCCCCAAAAATAAAAATGTACTTCATATATTATGAAGCCAACCCCCTTTGTTGCTTAGTCATTGGTGGAAAAAAGGAGGGCACTTTTGATCTGTTCCAAAAGCTCTTGCCTACATAAGCAACTGCCTTCTTTTAAGAGATTGTTTTCAAATAAAGAGAGCAACTCGGCTCACAGCAAAAACAGTGCATGATTCACAACGGATACTAGTGGAGTTCAACATCAGCATGTTTTAAGTGAATATTGTAATGTGATTAAAAATAGCACACCCTTAAATATGGGCCCTTTTTCACAATGACGTTTGGAACGTGGTTGTATACTATAGCAGGGTAAACTTACACTCTAAAAAATGCTGGGTTGTTTCAACCCAATTTTGGGTCAAATATGGAAGAACTCCATTCAGTGTTTCTGTTCTTTCCAATTTAAACCGGTCTTTAAATTCATCCTCATAGTTTGGGTCACCTGTAGCACCATAACTTAACACGATCAAGACCATGGCTGTATCCTTCTGCTGATACCATTGCATGTAATCCATGTTATTGTCATCATGACTACACTTTATCATCGCAGTTTTATTCTTGTTGGCTAACATGGATGTTGGGTTCTGTTGAACGGTCACACATCGCACCATCCCTGTGAAAAAAATAAATAAAAGCAAAGACCAATAACAGAATTGATATATAGTTATAATAATTTGATCAATCTGTTGTCAAAGGACATCTTACCTATATATAATAAGAAATAAATGCACAGTCCATACGCAGCTCTAAACATCCTTCTACAACAGCGTTAAAAATACTCTGGTCATGCACACAGCAAAAATAATCTGATAAGTGAGAGAGAGTACAAGACTTTAGTATAGACAGAGAAAGAGAGGAATACCTGTACATTAAAATAGACAGTCACATCTCCCCCTACTGACTGTATCATATCAACCAGACCTTTGTGTGAAAGTGTTTTTGGTGGAAGGGAGGAGTGTAACATGATTAATGCAGTTGTAATTGCGAGTTGTAAGGTTCTGCTGACTTGTCTGTAAAGATATGGGTTTATTTATTTGTGGTTGAGGCAGGTGTGATTGCAGGTTGCCATCCCAAAGGGTTTTTGTTGTACAATTTATTAGCATTTATTCACTGTGTAAACTAGCAGCACACAGATACACAGCATCAATCCCGTCTGTAATATTCACTTTCAGGGTCCATTTCTTCTTCTCTGTACTTGACACTGTAAAGCCGCTTTCAAAATCCTTCTCAACTGAGCCAGAGTTAACAATGTAGCTCCCAACAAGCACTAGCTCTCCTTTTATTTGTCTGTACCAGTATTTGTAGTCATAGTTTGTATCATTCTGGTAACAGTGCATTTCAACTGAAGAGCCTGGAAGACTGGATATGTACTTCGGCCACTGAGTGATCAGAACACCATCACTGAAATCTGCTGGAAATACAAAGATATAATAATGAGCAGGATATGTTTTTCATTAGAAATCTACAGTACATTTATTCTAAACCATGAAGATCACTGTCAGTTCTTATTTCAAGTTAAAATGTAATACCTTTTAGACAAAGCAATGTGAATAGGAGAAGAAATGAGTCCATTTAGAGTTGCTTTTTGTGAAATGTTCTCTGATGTTCAGTTAATTCCCCCCCAAAAATAAAAATGTACTTCATATATTATGAAGCCAACCCCCTTTGTTGCTTAGTCATTGGTGGAAAAAAGGAGGGCACTTTTGATCTGTTCCAAAAGCTCTTGCCTACATAAGCAACTGCCTTCTTTTAAGAGATTGTTTTCAAATAAAGAGAGCAACTCGGCTCACAGCAAAAACAGTGCATGATTCACAACGGATACTAGTGGAGTTCAACATCAGCATGTTTTAAGTGAATATTGTAATGTGATTAAAAATAGCACACCCTTAAATATGGGCCCTTTTTCACAATGACGTTTGGAACGTGGTTGTATACTATAGCAGGGTAAACTTACACTCTAAAAAATGCTGGGTTGTTTCAACCCAATTTTGGGTCAAATATGGACTAACCCAACTGTTGGGTTAAATTTTGGTTACATTTTTAAATTAACTTTTTAACCCAACAGTTGGGTTAATCCATATTTGACCCAAAATTGGGTTGAAACAACCCAGCATTTTTTAGAGTGTACTTACAGGTAAATGGAAAACCATGGCTAATATATTTTTACACAATTATTGTGGGTACAAATCATAGGTAGGTACAAAGTCATTGCCTTTTGGTAAATGTCACCATTTTTTAAGTCAAAATACATAATTTCCATACGCCTTTATGAGTTAATCAGTGAATCAGTGAATCATTCACTCAACCAATTTGTTCATTCTGAACGCCACTACTGTGTGTTGCTTGGAGATGCACAGCACAACATAATATTTCACTGTGGATATGAATTGAACTATTTTTGTTGATGGAGCATAAACAAAACAAACAAAAAAATAAGTAGTCATCAACACTCTAAAATGTTAGTTTATGTATATTAGCTGCTGTATATGATTACCTATAGTAGGCTGCAAGAACTCTCTTGCTAGGGTGATATATTGCTTAATTAATGTATTGATATGTTGCATCAAATATAAGTATTTACTGGCAACATTTCTCTTTACTCCATTCACATCTTGGATGTTTCACAGATATTGTTGCAATGCATTCTGGTATTGCATTATCTGTGAAGGATACGTTAAGTTGGCCAGCAAACATGATGCTTTAAAAGGTTGTCTGGGTAGGTCCTGTACTAAGTTTTGGAGCAAAGCTTATATCTGATTGTGTTTTCTATTAAACACTGATAGGACGTACACATTGTTTTTTTTTCAATGTAGAAATTAAATGCTGCAACAAGTCTTTTCATTACTGTCACAACTGAATCTCACAAACGTTAGACTGCCTTTTTGTGTATTTCCTGTTTGTCTGGTGGTTTGGTTTTTAGTCATGCAGGCAATAAAGACTACAGCAGTGTGCATACTGACAGCACAGTAATAAACAGCAGAGTCTGACTGACTGAGATCAGAGATTTTCAGAGCTCCATTCAGCTTTTCTGTTCTTTTCAGTTCAAACCGGCCTTTAAATCCATCCTCATAGATATGGTCACTTCCAGCACCATAACTTAACACGATTAAGGCCATGGCTGTATCCTTCTGCTGATACCATAACATGTTTGGCTTGCCACTGTCATCATATATACACGTTATCTCTGCCATATCATTCTTGTTAAATAATAAGGGAGTCAGGTTTTGTTGAACGTTCACACATCTCCCCATCCCTGTGAACAAAAATAAAGAAATAAAAATAGGCTTTGAGAGATATTCTGTTTCAAAGGAAATGACAATAACAAACATGATAAAGAGTAATAACTGAAGGGCATCTTACCTATGTACAATAAGAAAAATATGCAGAGTCCAAATGCACCTTCAAACATCCTTCTAAAACAGTGTACAAAAACTCTGGTTATGCAGCAAAACATTATGTGACAAGAGAGAGAGTATGACACTGTGCTAAAGAAATGAGAGAAAAAACTTGATTAAATAAATAGTCGTATCTCCCCCTACTGACTGTACAATATCAACGAGATCTTGACGCAAAGGTGTTTTTGGTGGAAGGGAGGAGTTTATACTTGTCATTAATGAAATCTGTTTGTGCACGTTCTCTTGTTCTACTGACTTGTTTGTATAGATGGGTTCATTTATTTGTGGTTGAGGCAGGTGTGATTGCAGGTTGCCATCCAAAGAGTTTTTGTTGTATAATTTAATGCCCTTTATTCCGTGTAAACTAGCAGCACACAGATACACAGCATCAATCCCCTCCTTAACATCCACTTTCAGGGTCCATTTCTTTTTCTCTGTACCTGACATTATGAAGTCTCAAACTCCTTCTCATTCGAGCCAGAGTTAACAATGTAGCTCCCAATAAGCACTGGTTGTTCTCCTGTTATTTGTCTGTACCAGTATTTGTAGTCATCGTTTGTATCATTCTGGTAACAGTGCATTTCAACTGAGGAGCCTGGAAGACTGGATATGTACTTCAGCCATTGAGTGAGCAGAACACAATCACTGAAATCTGCTGGAAATACAAAGATATATTAACAAAAACAGGTTACGTTGTCTATTATAAATGGTCAAAACCATGAGCATCACTTTCAGTTCTTTTTCCAAGTGAATCTGTAATACCTTTAATACAAAGCAAGGTGAAGAGTAGAAGAAAGGAGTAAATTTAGAGTTGCTTTTGTGAAATATTATCTGATGTTAAGTGTTTCACAAAAATACAAAAAATAATAGTTATTTGTTTAGGACACACCCCTTTGCAGCTTAATCACTGGTGAAAAAAAAGAAAGATGACACATTTGTTCTGATCCAATCACTCTTGCCTATATGCAGCTGCCTAATTTTAAGTGACTGATTTCAAATTATCTGAAGACAGAAGCTCAGGCCATCACAAAAGCAGCACATGATTTAAAATTAATACTAGTGGAGTTTGACATTTGACATGAATATTGCAAATCTAATATTGTTATAAGAATAGAAATAACACACACACACTGGTTTCCATGTTCTATGGGGACATTCAATAGACGTAATGGTTTTTATGCTGTACAAACTGTATTTTCTATCATCTTACCCTTATCCTACAATATGGCTATAATATGGATTACCACAATCAGAAGAGAAAAAAAAAGTTACATTTATAGTCATTCCCTCAGTAGCAGAAACCC